TTAATCTTTTTTAAACAAATAATTTTTGGTACGGTAAGCAATTTGCCTTAAGGCACGATGCCATGCATCACCAGTTCATATTACTTTAATGTCGTTAATAAAAGCGTTTGTAGACAGTTGCAATATTAAAGAATCATAATATTTTGAAAAAACGCGCCGCTAGTTAAAGGTCAACGCTATTGGCTATGTGGGAAGGCATGGAAGGGGAAGTCAAATCGACCGAAGCGTTCGTAGTGGCTACTTTGAGCATTAAATGTAGCTATTATAACCAAAATTTTAAACAAAAACACATAAAATATTTGTTTATTTCAAATTTAAATAAGATAATTAACAATAATGAGCCACCAAAGCTGTTGTGTAGTGGGTTGTAGAAATACCGGCAGAAAAAGTGACTGCAAATTCTATTCATTTTCTACAGCTAAGTGGAAAGAAAATCAAAGGAAAAGTGGATCGCTGCGGTTAGAAGAATAAAGTGAGTATCATAACCTTATTGATATAAAAATTCAATTCGAAGTACTATGAATAGTTGTAAAATTGTTATGTTTAGCAAAAAGAAAAATTATAAGTCAATAAATTGTTATATTATCAAAATTTAATGCTTACTAGAAAAAATTGTTTTGCAAACAATGTAATTAATACAAGGCTGAAATATAGAAAAATATATATTTATATATTGTATATTGATTATGTATAACTATTATCTATATATTAATTACATTGTATCAGTGGCGGATCCAGGGGGGGGGGGTCACGGGGGTCATGACCCCCCCCTGAGCCTGTTTTAGGACTTAGATAAAACACTAATTCGACAACAAAATTACTTCATAATGATCTTATTTATGTATTTTGTTACCAAACATATTTTACAACTCGAATATTTAACTGATTGTAGACGAATGGCGGAATCAAAAACCCTAAAATTTAAGGATTTTCTAATCGTATTGCGAATATATGTTTTATTACAGTTTAGGAAAAGAAATTCATTCAAAAATCAAAAAAATAAACTGATTGTGAGTGGCCTTTATGCATGAACTTTCAGTAATCCTATTAATAGACGACTTAATCAACATATAAAATAGTGGTGTATGGCATCGTGCCTTAAGGCAAATTGCTGAAACTACCCGCACCGTAACGAAATTTTCGAGTATTAAATGTTTTCAAATAGATTGTTAAAAATACTGTAACAATGTCCAATATTTATAAAAATTATATAAACTGAATTGCAAAGTTAAAACTATTTATTTAAAGTATATAAGTTTTAAACTTAAGCCAGAATTAAAATTAAAATCTGAATTATTTTCGATATAAAAAAAAAATTGAAATAAAAAAATTGAAACAATTTTTTTTCAAAGGCAATTATTTTGTCAAAACAAGCAGAATTTTTTTTGAATCATTCAAATCGGTCGCTCAGTTCTCTCAAAAACTACCATTTTTTGCACATTTGTCTCTGTATCTTCGAAATGGCTGGACCTGCTTTTGCCAAAAACTAATCATATCTTCTCCCAATCATTACAAATTGGATGTTTTTTATGTCATTCAAATCGGATGCTCCGTTCTCTCAAAACCTCGATTTCTATTTTCTGCACTCTTTGCTCTTTATCTCCGTAACTGCTGGACATGCCTTCGCCAAAAACTAATCAGCTCATCTTCCTATCAATAGGAATCGATTGTTTTTTGAATCATTCAAATCGGTTGATATGTGCGCCCTAAAACGTGGACAAAAAAATGCGGACATACAAAACACACACACACGCACATCTATTTTTTCTGAGGTATGCCAAAGTGTTCAGATATCTTCAAAACGTCGAGAAATGCAAAAAATCATTTTAGATTTGAATGAATTTTTTTGCATTTCTCGACGTTTTGAAGATATCTGAATACTTTGGCATACCTCAGAAATAATTGATATGTGTGTGTGTGTGTATTTTGTATGTCCGCATTTTTTTGTCCACGTTTTGTCCATCGCTGTAAACCATTTTGAAGTGAGAAACTATTGCAATTTTTTTCAAATATAGTAGTGATTTTTGAAAAATGGTTTGAATAATACACATTGATGGAAAATAATCCAAAACTTTAATTATCATAAGTAAACCACTTGTCGCAGGCCTAGTTTAGTACGTTCATTTAGAGCAGAAACTCTATCGCCATGTAAAGTTTCACTTAAATCGCAAAAAAATGACAACCTATTATGAAAAAGAAACGACTTGACCGATCTTCGCCAGAAACCATTTATTTCCAAATGATATCAATCGAATAGTTTGAGCAAAAACGGCTAAGAATTTTTGACAAAAACATGGACGATAATTTTAGCACTTTTCTGCCAATAGTAAAGAAACGGATCGACCAATTTTCTCAAAAAACTAATCAACGCAAGCGCTTATCCAGTTTCATTTTATAGTTTTTAAATTTTAACATCGGTTCAGACGAGAAAACGTCGAGGAAAGGTCAAAATTTGACTCACGTCAAAGACGCAGATTATTTTTAAAAAAATACACATATATAAGGTTACGCGGGTCCAATTTAACTTTGAGCAATTATATTATGAAAACTAAACAAAAAACATAACAACCAATAGGACACATCAAATAAAAAGCATCTGACTATGTTTTAGTCCAACTTCCAGCTAATTCATCACTGTAAAAATGTGTTTTTTTCTGTTTTTTTTAAATTTGTCACTTGGTCTTTTTTACCCCATAGACGGAGTAAAATCGGACGGCGAGAGGACAAACAATTCAATTTACTATTTTTAATTTTAAAGGGGTTTAGTTACATTATTCAACCAATGAAAAATATGAATTTTATAGATACATTTTTACAGAGATAACTCTATATATAACCTTAATTTGATATTTTGTCAAATAAGAAATCCTTAACAACAAAGGTGGTGGACCTTTTTACCCGCGAAGCCCCGCTCTATCTTATATATATATATATATATATATATATATATATATATATTTTTGAATAGTCTTGAATTTGATGTTGATATATATGTTTAATTTTAGTTTAATATTCGGGCGTAACATCAATAAAAATAGTATGAGTTTTTTTAAAAAAATTATTTATTTAAAATCCATACGTTTCGGCTAGCGATGGGATTTTGTTATTTTTTAAGGAATTTTGACACGCTATTAAGAAACCACGTGTTCGCTTCGTTCAGGGCCGTATTGTCAAAGCGTTTGTTTATAACTTTGTCGTTATGTAATTGTAAAAACAACCCCTCAGCGAATCTTCTTTTAATTGTATTCTCTTCAAAATGTAAAATTTTAGGGTTAAAAAAATCGATATTATGATTTAAATTTTTAATATGCTCAGTTAACATTGTTTTAAATTGCTTGGGATTTTTTGAATTATTTTTGTGTTGATTAAGGCGTTTACTCAGGTTTTGGCTAGTTTCTCCAATATAAAAGAGTTCGCAATTAGAGCAATTAATTTGATATACCAAATTCCTGAGGCGGTCAAAATTGAACTTAGATTTCATTTGTGTAAAAATTTAACTAAGGGTTGCATCACAATTACATACCAACAGAATGCCACACTGTTGAAATAGTTTTTTCCACGAGAAATATAAATCTTTTACGTACGGTAGGCAAATGACACCAGTATATGATTCTAAGTCTAAACGGTTTTTATGGTCTGTGAGGTCTTTTTGTTTGTTAAAAATGTAACTGCGTCTGTTATTTATGACCGAGTTGATTATGTTCGTAGGATATGAGTTGTTTTTCAGTGTGTTTATAACCAGGTCAATGTTCGTGTCCCAGAAGTTTTTGTCAGATAGTAATATGGCGTGGTCTGTTAAATTTATTATTGTCGCTATTTTCATTTTAAGAGGGTGGTATGAGTGGTAATTTATGTATCGTCCGGAGCTAGTTGGTTTCTGGTACCAGTTAGTAATTAGTCGGTGGTCATTTGTACGTATTACTCTGATGTCTAGAAAACTAATCGAATTCATTGTCTATATATATATATATATATATATATATATATATATATATATATATAGTAATTTTGTCACATACTCATTGAGGACTATAAAAATTTTCAATTATGACCCCCCCCTGACGCCGAAGCTGGATCCGCCACTGCATTGTATTATATAATAATTGTAATTTTATGATTAAAAGAAAAATAAATGTTATCACATAGCGCTAAAATGTTTATTTTGCAAACAGTTTAATTAATACATTGCTGAAATAATGCAAAATATATATTTGTAGTGTTGATGGATAACCGCCGTGGGTTCCCAAGCCCTATGATCGCATTTGCAGTGAACATTTCATTAGAGGAAAAAAAATCGGACGAGGTATTGAGTCCTATCTACTTGCCAACAATATTTCCTTCAATTTACAAGCCTCGAAAAGTTAATGTAGTTTTTTTTTCCTGCAATATTATCTGATGGATGATGGAATCAAATCATGTCTTTATAATAATGTCTATTGTAAGTCTTTAGTTTGACCAAAAATAATAAAAAAATGAGAAAATTAATTTATTATTTACTTATTCTATTGATAAAATATTATTATCATTATTATATTGTTTTTATTAAGAACTATTCCGAGATTATGACATAAGCTTTGAGGCACTTAACCTTAGAAATGTTTACTGCATTTCTTTATTTAATTAATCATTATACTTAATTATGTTTTAAGTACGTTGAAGTAAATTTAATAATTTCAATAAACATTCAGCGTTCACATTATTACTGTATCTTGTTTATTATTATTTATAACAATTATTTAATATCTTTTTTCTTTAACAAACATATAAAACCCATGAAAAACACACACTGATAGCCACAATTAGTTCATAAATTACGGCGCTGCATGGGCGCTGCAGTCACGCTCTGAACGAATTTGTTACAGTCTCATCTTTCTAAAAGCATACTCTATGCTTCAAATGTCAAATAACATTTGGTTTAGTAAATTTAGTTAAAATAATCATATTTTAAAATATTATTGATTTTTATTTAGCACACAGTAGCAGCAGTAAAATAATTAAAAATGTCAGAAGAAACAATTTTGCCCATAAATGATAAGGCAATTAAAATTGAACCACCAGAATATTCAGTAGAAGACATTAAAAGCGAAAATGATGATGAATTTGACGTTTTTGATGATAGTGTCAAATCTGAATCTTGTTCTGAGAATAATGAAACGTGTTTACAAAGATTCATGAATTCCGAAGTGACTATAGAAGAAGAAGTCAAACAGGAGTTAATCGATACATCAACTTATGAATGTGACATTTGTAATCGAGCATTTGCAGAATCACACCATTTAAAAGAGCATATGGTTGATCACATGCCTAGTAATAGCAAAGAACGCCCTTTTAAATGCGAAATTTGCGATAAGACTTTCAAACTATCAAAACATTTGAAGTCTCACATGAATATACATTCTGGAGAACGTTTCTTTAAATGTGAAATATGCGGTAACGCATTCACACGATTAGCTGTTCTAAATAGACACATGCTCTCTCACAAAGCTGAGCGTCCCCATGAATGCAGTATATGCAATAAGACATTCATACAATTATATAATCTGAAAATTCACATGATGACACACAATGGAGTACGCCCTCATGAATGCAATATATGCAAGAAGACATTCACGCTATTATGTAGTCTGAATAGACACATGCTCGTTCATAATGGTAAGCGCCCCTTTGAATGTGATATATGCAATAAGACATTCACACAAGGACACGGCTTGAAAAGTCATATGCTGATTCACAGCGGAGTACGGCCTCATGAATGTAGTATTTGTAATAAGACGTTCACACAATCAGGTAGTCTTACAAGACACATGCTCACTCACAGTGCTGAGGAACCTCATAAATGCAATATATGCAAGAAGACATTCATACAGTTAAGTGATCTAAAAAGACACATGCTCATTCATGAGGGTGAGCGTTCCCATGAATGCAATATATGCAAGAAGACATTCACTCAATTAAGCAGTCTGAATAGACACATGCTCGTTCATAATGGTAAGCGCCCCTATGAATGTGATATATGCAAAAAGACATTTACACAAGGACACGGCTTGAAAAGTCATATGCTGATTCACAACGGAGTACGCTCTCATGAATGTAGTATTTGTAATAAGACGTTCACTCAATCAGGTATTCTTAAAAAACACATGCTCATTCACAGTGCTGAGCGACCTCATAAATGCAATGTATGCAAGAAGACATTCACACTATTAGAACATCTAGATAAGCACAGGCTCTTTCACAGTAGCGAGCAACCTTATGAATGCAATATATGCAATAAGACATTCATACAATTAAGTGATCTAAAAAGACACATGATCATTCATAAGGGTTCCCGTGAATGAAGCATATGCAATAAGACATTCATACGATTAAGTTTTCTGAAAAAACACATGCAGATTCATAATGGAGAGCATCCTTATAAATGTGAAATATGCAAACAGAAATTTACTCAATTAAACGATTTGAAGAAACACATGGCTCTTCATAGTCCGAAGCATGATGAAAATCAATGAAATATAACCATATTTGTTAAATTGAATTTAAATATTTGTAAACATGTTATAAAATGTTTTTGCTATTTGTTAGATTCAATAAATAGTATGAAATGGTAGTGGTATTTTATTATTTTGTTTGATATCATTTTAACATGTTTTATGGTAAGGCATTTATGAATGGTTTTATTGGTCACAATTGCATTAATGGGCATTTGTTAAAGCATTTAGTATTTACTTTGTGAATTATCTGACACGGATCAATTTTACTGAATTTTGTTGTTACATATAATATAAATGGCTTTAAATCATTATGTAATTTTCCGATCTCAAATTAAGATTCAATCTATTATTAGGACCAGTATGGATCAGGTTCTGTAGTTTGTGAGAACATATATCGAATGCCTGATTTTTGGCACCTTTGTATTTTTTCTTGTAATTTATGACTGCAAATTAATTGATTATTTCTCAAAATTATAACATTCATACTATAAATTCTTTAAACTATCCCTTTTGGCATAGCGATTAATTTTTCTCATATTTTCATTGGAAATAATGCAGAACATCTATTATATCATTGAGAATTTTCCAAAAATATTCGATTTTTGGTACTTTTATTCGATTTTTATTTTTCCAATTTAAATATTTTTCAAATTATAATACAAAATTTTAAACAATATACAAAATGTGCATTAAACGATACCGGATATAATTATTTATTATATATTAATCTTATTCGTTACTTAAAATTTTAATATTTTTGAGACTTTTCTTTAAAAAATTTAGTGAAAAACATCCACAAAAAGACGATAATTGACTATAGTCAATTAATAGTTATCGATTCGGTTAAAAATGATTTATGAATTTGAGAAGTGTAAAAATTGCGGGTTGCATGCATATATTTTTCAAACTCACATTTTAAAAGAAATGATTCACTATCCATCAATAAGATTCGAAGGTTCTTTGAATCATTCAAATCGGTTGATCCATGCGCCCCAAATCGTGGACGAAATATTGTATACAAACATACATACACACACATCAATTTTTTCTAACGTATGCCAAAATGTTCAAAAATCTTTGAAGCGTAAAAAAATGCAAAAAATTTCATTTTTGATTGTATTGCGATTACTAGAACCTAGAACTTACCCAATAGGAAGTTAAAATAAGCGAATGGCAATTATTAGAATAAAAGAATAATTTCGGAGAGAGAGAATTACAGCATTCTGGATCCTCTCCATGAAGTGATGGCGTTGGGGACCAGAGGCAAAAGATAAGCGAAAGTTTTAGTCGGAATTATACCCAGGCGTTATTGAGTATGACATACTCAGACAAAAGACCCAATCTGGGATGCATAAACGCATATCCTCCTCTATACAAAAAAACATAAATTTTTTAAGGTATTAGAAGGCTTTGAAACGTAAAGATATCCAAAACTAGTGGGGTGTATGCAGTGCTGGATTTACAGTAGGGGCAGTCGGGGCTACCGCCCAGGGCGGCAAATTTTGAGGGGCGGCAAAATTTGGATAGTGAAAAAAAAATTTTATACAATATAATCAACTTTTTTTAACAACATTTTTTATTTCAAGAAATATAATTAACAAAACATAATACGATTGCAATGCAAAATTTGGGTTGAAATAAACGATAACTAAAATTTATTATTTTGCCTTGTCTCCCTCTCCAAACGTAAATTATCAAAATGGTTAATAAGTTATCAAATTTGGCAATTTGGCTAATATAAAGATCTTCTTCAGTTCTCGAGCCCTCTTAAAATGACGTATTTGTGCACTTCCAAGCTTATAGCGTCGAAAAAAAAAAATTAAACTAGTGATTCATGGCATTGTGCCTTAAGACAAATTACTGAAACATCCCGTACTAAAAATTACATTTTATAAAGAGCTTTAAATTTTATTGAAAAATGAAAAAAAGACTTCTAAAACACATTTCTTGTATTTTGAAATTTTTCGAAAACTATGAACTTTTTGCAAAGCAATCGCGCTGCGTAACTGTTTCAGAGAAGAAATATCGAAACTAAATTACCATTTTTCGTAATTGCCTGTACCAAAAGCTAATCAGCACGTATCCCCATCAATACAAATCTAATATTTTTTAATTATTCAATTCAAGTCGATTTCGAGAACACGGATCAACCGATTTATGATTCAATTCTTATTGATAAGGAGACGTGCTGATTAGTTATTGGTCAAGGCAGGTCCATAAGTTTTGAAGATACGAGCCAAAATGCCAAAAATGATAATTCAGTTTTTGAAAAAAAAGCGTCCAATAACATTCAAAAAATTTTACAGAATAAATAACTGCTTAAATTTGTGGGGGGCAGGTTTAGCGGTTTTGATGATCCAATAAAAAAATTTGAAAAAGAAACATTTGGCGGACAAAAGTGATCATAAGACTTATGCACATTAAATTATCAGATATTTTAAAGATATTATAATAATAAGTATAAATTTTGTTTACATTTATATAAGTTCTGTAACATTGTTTATCCGTTAGACTGCGACGCGGCGCTTACGCGCTTCTATATTTTGTCATCCGCAGCTAAAGCAGCGCGATTGCTTTAAAAAAAGTTCGAAAGTTCGTAAAATTTAAGGGATGGGGCGGCATTTTTGTCAGTACCCCGGGGCGCCAAATTTCTAAATCCGGCCCTGGGTGTATGGCATCGTACCTTAAGGCAAATTCCTGGACCTTCCCTGTACCATAACAAAATGTTCGAGGAATATTAAATGTTTTATATATAGATTTTTATAAATATTGTACATTGTCTAATATTTATAAAATTATATAAACTGAATTGCAAAGTTGAAATTATTAAAAAAAAGTTAAAGTACATTAGAACTTTGGTCAGAATTAAAAATAAAATCAGAATTATTTTCGATATACAAAAAAAATCTTAAAAAAACTTGAAAAAAAAAATTTTTGAAACAAATATTTTATTCCAAAATCAATTATTTTGTTAAAACAAGCAAAAAGTTTTTTAAATTATTTAAATCAGACGCTTAGTTCTCTCAAAAACTGTCATTTTTTGCACATTTAGCTCTGTATCTTCGAAATGGCTGGTCCTGCCTTTGCCAAAAATTAATAACCACTTCTCCAAATCATTAATATTGCATGTTTTTTAGAACATTCAATTCGAATGCTCCGTTCTCTCAAAAACTCGATTTCTAATTTCTGCACTCTTTGCTCTTTATCTCCGTAACTTCTAGACCTGCCTTTGCCAAAAACTAATCAGCACATCTTCCTATCAATAGGAATCGAATGTTTTTTAAACGATTCAAATAGGTTGCCCGAAAACGTGAACGAAAAAATGCGGGCACACAAAACACACACACACACATCTATTTTTTCTGAGGTATGCCAAAATGTTCAGAAACCTTCAAAACGTCGAGAAATGCAAAAAATTTCAATTTCGATTTTCTGACGATTACAATAACTTACCCTACAGGAAGTTAAAAAAATCATTTTCGATTTTTTACGATTACTATAACATACCTCACGAAAAATTAATAAACAGATATAGAAAGTGATAGAAGCAATTCAGAATCTGTAATCTAAATTCAATTTTGGTAATATAAATTTAACTCACGATTTGGCTAGTTCTTCTTCCGCAATATGATCTTACAACATAGTCTCTAATCGTCTTATTGGAGGCGACCTGATCTGTAAGCTGAACGCTTCCCTCGCATTCTGGCAAAGGTACGCAGACTCCAGGTATGCTATGCGCCGTTAGGCATGGTTGGTAGCATTCTGAAAGAAAAGAACCAGTTAGTATATCCACAACTTTATATGGAAGATGCTAAAATTTCAAATGCATTATTAGTATCGTTTTTTATATTTTCTTTTTAGCAGCTATTGTAAAACTGGTGGTGCATTACATTGTGCCATAAGACAAAATGCTGGACCTTCCCTACCGTAATTTTTAAAGCTTATGGTTTAAAAAACATTGAGGATTTTGAAAAACTAGTAGGTGTTGGTATTTTGCCTTGAGGCAAGTTACATGAACTTCCCGATATGTGTAAATAATCGACTTAATTCATGATAGATAAATTAATTTATGAGTAGTTAAAAGTATTCGAAATGGATTTATTACACATTATTAAAAATCGAACAGGTCAACCCGGTCGGAATATTCTTTAAAAGCAAATTTTTTAAAATCAATAATTTTTATAATTGAGCCAGTTTATTGTAGGACTTTAATCGTTTAGCACGTTCATTAAGGCCAAGTACTCTATCGTTATTCCAAGTAAATCGTCGAATTTTAATTTTAACACACGTCAAAAAAACTATTTTTTTCAAACTTTGATGAATTTTTAAACTTAAACTACTTGTCGTAAGGAAGTAATATTTCAGTAAGTTCTATAGGACTGTGATATATATCGCTAAAAAAAGTTCCATAAAAATCGGCTTAATTTTTTTTCAATAGTTAATTACCAGAAAACGGCTTCGTAGATTTTCATCTAAAACTAATCAGTATCATTCCCAACCAATATCTTCCGAAAAGTTTTTGATTTTTTAAAATTGATTCGGTACTATGAGCTTAACTGCGGACGAATAGTTTAACACTTTTTTCAAATTACAAAGAAACGGCTCGGTCGATCGTCGCATAAAACTGAGAAACGATAATCCTAATCGAGATACATCAAATGGTTTTTAAATTTCTGAAATCGGTTCAGGCGTTTTAGAGCAATCGTCGATGAAAGTTCTAATTTTGACAAATGCCAAAAAGCCCATACTTTGTAGTAGTTGTAGTAAACGAGTTGTAGTAGGGCCGTAATATTTTAGTATAATCTAGAAGACTATGGTATCTACCGTCAAAAAAATCGTCGATTTTT